GCCTAACTTAGGCTTGTCCCACTAGCACTTATAACTTAAATTAACCCATGTTTTTATTAACCTACATTCTGCCATGTGGCCTTTACCTCTTTTCCATTCTGTGTGTCTGACTCGTTCCATGTCTCCATGACGTCTGTCACGTGCCTAGATTCATCCTCCTCTTCCTTTCTCTACCTGGAAATCCCACCTATACCTCCTGCTGACATATTGGTCATTCAGCTTTTTATTATACCTATCACAGGAATACATTTTCACATAGTGTACAAATATCCCACAACAAATACTTTCTTATTTTAGTAGCAGTTTCTTTTTTGTTACATCCCTCTTGTATTCCAAAGTGTTTTCTCAAAATGTAAAGAAATCTTAAAATACCCATTCCTCAGACTTTTGTCAGCTGCCATAAAGAAAAGTCACTGTATGGGTCATAGATGTCATTAAAACATCTCTGATTTGCTTGGAGAAGTATAAGGAAAAATGGGAATTTTTTTAGTGGGGCATTTGGCTAATATTTATGCCATGTAAACTTCGTGGTTAAAAGATAAATCCTAGTTTTTCCAATCTGGAACATACTCAAAATCTTGATATTTCTGTGTATCATAAACTGACTATAACTACAACCTACTTATATGTTATTAGTCACTGAGATGTATATAGACATTTTAATGACTAATGAAACTTAATGAAGCTTAATTTGTAAAATATTAAAATATTAATTTAAAAATAAAATAACATTTTAATCTGCTGAGTAAAATATCAGTGGCACTATCATATTATTATAACCATCATAACATTTACTCAATAGCTATTATAAAAATTAAATATGAGTAATTTTAATAAGGTACATCAGCATTCATTGGCGATAGGAAAATTTTTCAAGACCCTACTGAGTCTCAAGGTCATAGCCCATAAGCTAGCATGTATCTAATGACTGCTTCTTTAATGTTCTGGGTTTTTGCAATTCAGTTTTATTAAAGAAATTGAGATACTTTTGAAAATGGTAGTTTCATTAAGATAAAACTTTGGCATTACAAGACAAATTTATACTATATTTTTATCTTTGTATTAAGTAATTTACAAATGCTAAAAATGAAAAATTAGGCTTGTAGTTATTTTATATTTGTGTTGCACTACTATCACTGTTGCTATACATGCAAAAGTTGTACTTTTGTAGTATATACAAGAGGCCCTGAGTAGCTGTCAGCCTCATTATCTAATAAAGAATTCCGATGAAAATGGTTAGCATATAGATTTTGCTTCTTATACAAAGTAATGACAAGGTCTCTGAGAAATTGTAACCTCCTTTCTTTGTTGTTTTGTTTTATAATATATGGACCTAACAGTGTAACAGTAGACTTAAAAATGCATATCAAGAGTTATCTGAAAGGAAAGCAGTCAGATTTTGCATATCTCCCACCAGAGTTAGAGTAAGCAAAAGACTAGAAGGGTTTTTTTGTTTTTCTTGGTTTATTTTTTCTTAGGATAAAAATCAGAAGAAGAAAGAAGATTGACAGGCAGTGAATCCAGCCCTTTAAATTGGGTGGTCGCTATACAGGAGAGAATTGTAGAGATTCATACTCTGGGGCTAAAATGGATTGACATGAAGTTTGCATGGGACGAGCTGAAGTGAAATTTGGGAAATAATCAACTGTATTAGATGTATTCAGTATGAACAACTTAAGGTCTTTTTATATCAGGTATTCAATTCAAGTATTCAGGTACACTAGAACCAAGGTAGAAGTAATATTTCTAAATTGTAAAAAGAAATTGTTATGAAAGAAGTGAGAAAACAGCCTTGTACCTGTAGAGGAAACTCAGAATCATAGATAGTAAAAGTCAATACTCCTCTGATTAATCTTCCTAAATTAAGTTGTGTTAATGTATATTAATTGTGATTTGTATATAATATTTTTCAAATGTCAGTCTGACTTTTTTTTTCATGTAGTTTTTCAGAAATCCTTTTATTTAGTTCTATAGAAATAATGGATATTACAGACATCTATCCCAAGGCTTCCTAATAGATACCAACTCATGTCCAGTAATCACTTCTATTATCTCAATTAGTGATTTTCAAGATTATAAAATAAATTTAATGAGTCACAAACACTATTTTAAAAGGGAAATAAGCTAAGTAGGAATTTTATAAAACCACATTGCATCACATACAACATTGTTATGTATTTCATAGAATTCATGTTTCTATTTTATAATTGACTGATGACACATAAGTATGTACAGCAACATTATACAAAATGTAATTTTTTAGTTTTGAGAAGTTTGAGAGAAATACATCTAAATGCAATCTTATCACTGTGCTGAGCTAAAGTAATTGATACAGATTACTAATTCTTGTGATGCTGTCTTTTCAGGATAAGGACTCAGAAGAAGAACAAGGGTAAGTATTTACATTTTAATTATTAATATTTTTAAGTCATGCTTTGTCAATAATACACAGATATCCTTTTGGAAATGTCTAAGGAAAATAGTTTTTTGTCTTAATAAATTGCTATGATACTGCAGGTTAAATTATTATTAAGTTTGGAAAAAATAAAATCTCCATTTTTTTTTCTGTAAGGCTACTCAGAAGTCATCTAACATAATAACTCCTTTATTCAAACACTGACTTGAATGCTTACTAAATAGTTTAAAATATACATAGACTAAAACTTAAAATTAATGGATAGATCATATGTCCCCAGTGGACATGTACATACTTTCTTTGGTTTGAGTAAATGTATGAATTGTGATGATAATATAATATTGAAGATGTGGAAATGTTTGTGAACCTGTCTCAAAATCCTGTTTCTAAAGTAACTAATGGTAATAGCTGTGATCTGAAAAATAAATCCTGTAGTCTCATAATTCTTGAAAACATTGCTATGAACAATTAAATGAGTACTTTGAGCAAGTACTGCCTCATATGTGTTAGTGTCCATTGTTAGTGTTCAAGAGGTAAGAACTTTGTGAGCACTATCCAGACTTTGACCATGAACCCTTGTAATGCAGTGTGTCTCATGAGGCAGTATAATACTAGTTTGAGAGGCAATAGCCTATAAGGAATGCACCATACCATTGTGAATCATTGAATTGACTATGTCCCCACTATAGCTCATATATGGTAGAAAAGGATGACCAGTTGGAAACAGAACAATTAGATGGACACACTCTCAGCACGTATGTAAAAACTGATGCAAGTGATGCACAAGAAGATTCTGCCCCTGAGGACAAGTTCTGTAGCTTGGACGAACTCCATATTCTGGACATGATAGAGCAGGTGAGCAGTGGAGAGGGCTCAGCCCTGCTTTCCTCCTTATAAAAGGAATTTTTAATTTTGTTTTCTCTAGACTCTTTAAGCAATATGTCTTTTTGAAAAGCTCAGCAGAAAAACAACAAAAACAGGAAAAGGGGGTATTGCAAGACAAAGGGGATTACAAAAAAAAAAAAAAACATTGGCACTACAAACTTCATATGTGCCTTCAAATCATTTCTTGACTACTGAGCAATGTTGATAAATGCATTTCTTGTAAAAAATGGTTTCTGAAGAGTGTGAAGGAACAGAGAGAAGAGACAACAACACACTAAAAACTAGCATAAATCCCACTAAATTAACTGTCATCAAAATAGATTTTAATAAATCAAATCTACTTTGATTTCTTTTTAAATTAAATTTGGTTACAACCATGAAATATCTACTAAAAAGCACTAGTTATAGAATGTTTTTCTAGCTCCTTGTCTGGTACTAGCAACTGCTTGAAATGATATGCCTATAAGTAAGAGAATATTAGTGCTCAAAGAGCAGTTAGTTATACAAAGTAGTTGAAGGATTGACCCACACTCACATGCACATGCTCACACCATGTTTGAAGTTAGTGGTGAGCTCCTCTATGGTTTCAGATGTGAATGCCTCACAATCAGTTACCCACTGCCTAAGAGTCAAGTTGATCTGAATAAATCCCTGGCTACAGTATTAGTAGAATGTATGTATGTATGTATGTATATGTATATGTATACACACATAATTTTAGTTATTACAGTGGGATTTAAGTATGGGGCCATTAATGTTAGTCCAGTAACCCAGAAGAACTCAAAATATCACATAATACAGAAAATATTCACTTATTTATAAACCATTGAGCTACCTACATGGTGTTATAAGTGTGCTATATAGTGAGGTCCCTGTTAGTGTACTGTTTATAATATAGGAGAGAAGTTGAACATTAAAATTACTTGGTGCACTACTGTAATTAACAATGGCCAGTTGAGTTAGAATTCAGGCTTTTCATTTACTATTTGCAAATGTAGGCAAGTTACTTATTCCTTTCGTATTTTTAAATGAGAAGTACCTCATTATATGATTGCTATAAAAATAAGAGTATTACAAAAACTACAAGTAGCAAGCATGAGTGTCACCCACCAGTAGCCACAACTTACAGCTGTTGAATTATTTAAGTAAAGCATGAATGGGAATTGTTATAGATGGCAACTTTATATACAGGAGAAATACTATAAATAGAAAATACTAGCATGTTTTTTAATAGGAAAATGAATATTCTTGTTGCATTTGCTTAAGGGCTCGTCTGGAAAGGAAAGTATAGACTGCAAAGAAACTGAAAAGGAAAGACTTGCTCATCAACACCAGCTTTATAAATTGCAGTATGAGTGTGAAGTGAGTACTTTTGCTTTTAAAACTAATGGAAGTAAAAAGTATTTCAAATGCTTAAACTCAGTGACATTGTTTTAAAGAACACAATGAAATGAACCTTTATTCATTATTGGTAGGGGTGCAAACTAATACAACCTTTGTGGAAATCAGTGTGTGGATTCCTCGAACTAAAAATGGAACCACACAGTATGACCCATTCTTCTCACTCTTTGGGATATACCCAGAGAACTCCATACCTTACCAAAGAGATATTTGTATCCCGTGTTTTCCGCAGCCAAGTCTGAAGTCAACCTTCTCTATCAGTAGATGAATGAATGAATGGATAATGGAAATTTGTGTGATGATAGCTTCGGTAGCATACATACTAAAATTGTAATGAAACAGAGAAGATTAGCATAGACCTTGTGCAAGGAAGACACAAATTCATGAAGCATTCCATATTTTGTCCAACTCTGATGTGTTAGTTTTTGTTTTCTTATTATATCTTAGGAACCTGTTTCCTAATAAAAGAAAGGTAGTGGATCCAGATGGGAGGGTATGTGGGGAAAAACTGGGAGGAGTAGAGGGAGGGGAAGCCATAATCAGGATATATTATATGAGAATATATTTATTTTCAATAAAATGGAAAAGGGAAATTTTGGTGTGTTTATGTATATGGGGGTGTGTATACATATATATGAATACTATTAACCTCTAAAGAAAAATGAAGTCTAAAAAGTCTGCAGGAAAATGGATGGGCTTCAAGGTATAATATTAATTGAGATCACACAATCTGAAAATACTGTATATTGTGAAGAGAACCAAGAAAGACTGAATAAGGGGATGAGGAAGAACTAAATACGCATAATGGCTATGAGTTATTAAAAAGAATGTAAAGTTACTCTTTTGCCATAGATTTTTTTTATGGTGGATAAATGCATACAATATTTGATACTGAAAATGAAATATTTAATATGAAACCTCAAAGTTCCTATTATAATGACAATGCTAATCATATATAATAAGTTCATTAAGTTGTATACATTTAGGTTCTGGTTAATTTTGGTATGTAATGTTTTTATTTATTTGCACGTATTTTTATAATAAAGTTCATGTTAAAAGACTCAATGTGGATTTTTTTTCAATTTTTTGGTGAGTTGAATGCTATGAAACATTATTTTTCTTTGAGCAGGATTACAAAAGACAACTGAAAACAGTGACATTTCGGTGGCAGGAAAATCAAATGCAGATTAAAAAGAAAGAAAAAATTATTGTATCTCTTAACCAGCAAGTGGCTATTGGAATCAATAAAGTGTCCAAGTAAGTACAAATTTTGATAAAAGTGAAAATTCTGAATTTGCCTCTCCTTTTTAGTCTTAATCTTCCTGCAGCCACTAGGTGGCAATGTGACTGTACAGTAGGAATTACAGAGGCTGTGTGTGCTTTTTTGTTTCTGAGAAGTCAGAAAAAGAAGCTAGAGAGATAAATTTCAAATGGATGAGGTATAGGAGTTCATTTGCTGTTTTCAAGGCCAAGATTTGTGATTCCTGTAAGACATACTCATTCCTTTTCTCAGCTACGGTAGAAGGGCTTTTTCTGCATTAATGCAAAATAATTTCTAACATTTTATGATTTCCTCATTATTTGCTTAGATTACAGCGCCAGATCCATGCTAAAGATGATGAAATCAAGAACCTTAAAGATCAACTTTCCATGAAAAGGTACAGCATTTCCTTTTGTTGGCATTCCCTCTCTGAAACTCATTTTACTCAACATTTTTTGTGGTGATAACCAATAATTTAACATCCAAACATCCTTTCTCACATAAGATTGAGCAATAGCAACAACTACATTGGGTTAATAGGTATAAACAGGAAGAGGTGTAGGCAGATTGGAAGGTAGTTCATTGTAATTCTGACTGAAGAAAACTGAGAGCAGTTCCGTCAGCAGCGTTGCAGTATCTTAACTATCACTACTGTGTTTTGTTTTGTTTTGTTTTGTTTTTTGGTTTTTTGAGACAGGGTTTTTCTGTGGCTTTGGAGGCTGTCCTGGAACTAGCTCTTGTAGACCAGGCTGGTCTCGAACTCACAGAGATCCACCTACCTCTGCCTCCCGAGTGCTGGGATTAAAAAAGGCGTGAGCCACCAACACCCGGCCTTAGAACACTTTTTGTGTCCTCTAAATTGAACTATGTACATTTTTAATGTTACCCCCTCTTTACTCCTTTAGCTTTTGTTAAATACTAATTTGCTTTGTCTTTTGTATTTATATGTTCTAAGCATCTCATATAAATGCAGTTATATATATGGTTTCTTATAGCTAGCTCCTTTCATTTAATGTCCTGGCTTGAAATCCCTCCATGTTATAGCATGTCTGAGTATTTGTTCGTTTTAAAAATATGTATTGTTTAGATGTAGCACATTTTGTCTCATCTGTTTGGTGTTCAGTTGGCTTGATGTCCTCTCTGCCCTACATCCACACCTCTACACTGCTTATTAAGAAGCATTTACATATAGATGTTTTTGTGAATGTTTTTCTTTTTGAGTTTATCCCAAGAGTAAATTTTAGGATTATCAATAAACTTTACACTTAACTTTTTAAAGAATTATTAAGCTGTTTTACAAGTAGCTACACCTTTTTATAGTGTAGGCCAGTTCTCATTTCTCTTCTTTCTCACTAAAACTTCTTAGATTATCTGTAATTATTTCTTAGATTATTTGTAATTGTAAATATAGAGCAGAATGTCATTTTCGTTTAGATTTGTATTTTTCCATGGTCTTAAGTACATTCAATGATATGTGCTTATTAATAATTAGTGTATCTTCTTAAGTAAATTTTTATTCAAACTCTTGGCCTATTTTAAAATTTGGAAATCTTTTTTCCTTATGAACACTATGAGTGTTCATAAGGAAAGTGTTCTTTGTTTTAGTACAGGTATGATTTTTTTATTGGGCCTCATGAATGTTAGGGAAATGCTCTAGCAATAAGCTCTCACCAGCCATGCATACAATTTTTATCTACAGATATTTTTGCTCATTCTATAAGTTGTTTTTCCTTTTGTCTTTAAAGTGTAACTTTTTAATTTTGATGGAATATAATTTTATTTTAGGCAAATTTTATACAATATTTAGTGGTATAATAGTTAATACTCATATTGAGGTAATACCTCTGTTTAAATATATTTTTTCTCCCTACTAATCACTAACTTAATGGAGTATATTTGTCACATTCCCCATCAACAGTTTTTTAAGTTTTTAAGCATCTGAGTATATGTCTCTTAACAAAACACTGAAAATGGTTTCTGTGATGTTTCTTATTATAAAGTTATGCTTTCAGTTGTTCTTGTTAAAGGCAGAATTTAGTTTGCAGGCTATGTAATTCTGAGATTTCAGTGTAGAAAGCTAAGAAGGGATGGGGGATGAAAAGAGAAAGAACCCTCAGAGGTTTTAGAGTCTATAATAACCTAGATAGTCTGGTTCTCTTCTTATGATTCAAGCTATGGAATTCAGTTCCGTTTTAAGATATGAAATCCAAATACTGAAATAACTAGAAAGCTGTTTGATTGCAGTGACTTCCTTATTACAAGGATAAGAATTTACATGACTGCTCTAGTTGGTGCAAGAGCAGGAACTGTTAAATAAAATTTATTAGCAATAACATTTAATATGTAATATCAAACATGGAATGTTTTATGTATATTTTCTGCATTATTTTTATAGCAATTGTTTAGTTAAGGTGATAAAACTTCATTTTCACAAGTGCAAAAGCTAAATATAGAGAACTAAACACCTCTCTCACACTATTGCCTGGGTAGTTACTAACATCAGATACTGATTTCTCCAACATCAGGGTGACACCCAATTTAATATCTATTAAGGGCTTACTGCCTTCCTGCAGGTCTTCCTCATCTTCTCATTCTAACTTACATAGAAGGCTATAGACCTGTCTAAAAGCGTCATTTAAAATAAAGTATTATTTACTTCCCAAAGTTCTATTTCCAAATCATTAGGCAAAAACAGTTGCCTCCTCCAAGATCCTTACTTTGGGGTTTGTTGTGTGAAAAACTTTTCCTAGGAAGACGTGACACCCATATCTACTCATCCCAGATAGGGAATGCATGATAGACAAAGTACAGATGCCACCAAAGTCCAGCTTGGTGAGCTAGTTGAGTTTTATTGGGGTTACTTATAGGAATGTGAGTGAGGAGTTACTTAGAGGCTCAGAAATGTCTCAAAAATATCTGCATCACAAAGGCCCACCTCATAAATCTGGGAACCTGGATCACACTTCATAGCCTGAGGCAACTCATCAGGTTGGATTATGTCCTTTCCAGGTATCTAAACCTCTTCCAGTTGGTCTAAACCTCTTCCAGGTAGCTGATCTGGTCTCAGTCTTTTTGTAGCTTGGCTATGCTCTTCTGAGAGGACTCTTAGCTATTATTGCTTACTCTGGTAGTGAGGGGCCTAGTGAATCTAGCCAGTTTCAGGGACTTCCTAAAGCTGTTTTGAGTTGTTTATACCTTACTATTTAAGTGGTTTTCTGCCATGTTTAAGTCTTGGAGGAAACTTACACATCAATAAAGTGTGGGTCATGGAGAACTCAAACATTCAATGAATTTATTGTTCTTTTCTAAGGTTTTTTACATTTAGAAGGTATGGAGGTAAGATTCATTTTAAGATTATGGATTCAGAATTTAGGTCATAGCTTCTGTACTAAGGATCTTAAAATTTCTGTACTTTTGGTAGTAAAGAGTAACTATAAGTTTTAAACAGTGGCTTCTCTTGTTTTATATGCTATGTATACTTTGCCAAGAAAACATTTCCTCCTTGTAATAATGTGGAAAGGGCTATCATTGTAATGTTGCTAATTTTTAATGATCATTCATTTCAGATCTCAGTGGGAAATGGAGAAGCATAATCTTGAAAGCACAGTTAAAGCGTATTTAAACAAACTGAATGCAGAAACCAATAGAGCCTTAACAGCTGAGGTAAAAGGAAAATGGGAACAGAGGCGGGAGGGTAGTTTTACTTTAGTATAGTTAAAGAATTGAAAGGATTGTCAGTTAATAAACAGAAATAAGACATCTTGGTGTCATTTAGAAAAGTACAGCTTAAATTCATACCCTTTTGTTTCACTGGCACATCATTTGGGAGTACTTGAGTATTTCTGATCTTATGTTACTTTCGTTCATTGACTCCAAGAAGTCACAGTGTTTATGGAGACTAATTCTCATAAAGCTAGGTCACTAAGCCATACTTAACAAGAAAAACATTTCGCAAGAAAAGCATTTCACCACTACTGTAATACCACTTTCTCTTCTGTGTTCCATGCAAATAATCCAAAAATATATACATATCATAAGCCCCAACATCAAAAGCCATCTTTCCATAATCCTAGAAAATCAGTTTACAACACCATAGCTGTGGTCTCTCAGAAGACATAAGATTGTGTGAGGCCGGTTGGTGG